TTTGGTAAAGAATTAGATAGGCCCGGGCCCATACATCGCCATTGGTAACCCACATCGAGCCTGAAGAGATCGAACCGGTATCCCAAAGATCATGGAGATAGTTTCAAAGGATCGGTCAAGAAAAGAACTATAAAAGGAGAGCTAGAGCAAAGCACAACACACACGGAAAACTCTAGAGCTTATTACAACTCTCATCGACCTCATTTCTTAGTCTCTTATTTGTTTATAGCTTCGATCTCTCTTTATTATTCTTGACCTCGATTATTGCTTTGTATCAGTCCTCATATCAATAAAGTCCATTTTTCAACTGAATTCTGATTGTATCGTTGTGTTCTAAGAGTATCGTTCCCCACATAATTTGTCTTCCCTATATTTAACTCTTAATCACTACAATATACTTAGTGTGGATTTTAAGATCTACAAGGAGAAGGGGCGGATTACTATAACTCATGGCCACAAAACACTTGATCAAAACAATGTCTGAAAATATGAAAGACAATCTCGCATCTCACAACAATGCTGGTAAAACAACTCCAGCAGTGACTGCTCCTATGGCCAACGCTGCAGTGCTCGAGAATATCAAAAACCTAGTCGCGACTTTTTGCCACAGGAAGAGCACCAAAACGAGCTCGTGATTTCTCTCTCTAAATAGAAAAGACAACGATAAAATCTGTCAAACCCTGTAAAGTTTGTCTCGTTATCGACTTGGAGAAATTTCGACGTATAAGGGTTCGACCAAAAGATGATTTCCGAAACCTTTTCGGAAAAAAGAAAACTTGCTTTCCCAGAAATCTCGGAAAGCCTCTAGATTACTCGCAGGAAAAGAAAGCACGGAAAATTGGGTACACAACCCCCACTGTTGTACTTCTTCCGAATAATTTTCGAAAAAAGAAGTTGATCTTTATTGAATCACTCAAAACCTAAAACGGCGAGGGAAGACTAAACTAATAAAAATGGAAGATCATTCCCTCACTGCTAATACGTTTTCTGAAACCTAAGATTTCTTAAAAATTCAAACGTCACTTCTAAGTGAATTCTCGATGATTGTCACCTAAGCTTACTTCGAAAAAACTTCTCAAAACTCCCTCGGATCAATCCAACAGAAACGAGAAAATTTCTGATGAAGTTTAGTCACGTTAATTAAGCGCATTGCAGCAATAGTTTCTGATATAAAACTCGGAAACTAAATTTGCGTAACAACTGCAAAACATGAGTTTTTTGAAAAAATGGCTCTCGTACAGCTAAACTAGAAAACATGTTTACTGAAAAACTTTTTGAAATTAAACTCTACAACATTTTACGAAATAGTTTCACAAAACTAAACTCATGACATTTTGCGGAATAACTTTCGTAAGATGAAGCTTGAAAACATTTTACAAAAAAGCTGTCGTAAAATTAAACTCGACAATATTTTACGGAACATCATTCCTAAAGTGAAACGAGGTATTATTTTATGATACAATTTTTGTAAAATAAATTTGAAAACATTTAGAAAACGACTCTCAATAAAAATCAAAGCAATCTGACAACCTTTGGAAAATCAAACAAAGAACGTACAAAATGACTCCTAAATAAGGAAAAAGATGAAGAGAAAGCTGAGAAGTGAAATTCGCCCATCCGCCTCTCTCCAAATTCCAACCATCCTCACTCACCAAAACCTCATCACCCAACGAGTCTTCCTGGTCGCCCATGGCTATTCCTAAAACGCCAACAGGCTTTGACGAGATACTTGTTCGTTTTCGAAAAATCAACGATTCAGAGATTGAAACCCAAATCAGAAAAATACTTATCAACGAACCAGAACCGCAAGACAGGCTTCAGCCTAAACGTAGCCCGCAAAGTAGAGAAATCCAGGAATAATCGATATTCTTAGTATCCATAAGGGGTGGACAGACACGATAAGAGAAAGGGGAAATGAGCAGGCAAAACAAAGAGACAAAACAACATCTTCGAGAAAACTAAGGTATGTCTGACTTCGAAAATATTTGAAATAAATCTTGGAGTTTTCGTAGGAAGGTACTAAGAAATAAAAACGCTTTCAAGATTGCCGTTAACATAGAATTTATGTTGATAGTCTAGCGAACTAAGTCTTAGGTGATTTTCCCTTACTAAACCTATTGTTCCTTAATTGTTCAGGCAGATTTGCAAGCTGATATAAACTTTCGTAAAACCAAGAAACGATTGCCACACATACTCAGCTTGCTTCTTAAAGAAAGAAAGAACTAGAGACATGAACGTTGTCTTAAAACCGACTGGTTCCTAGCAATCTTCTGAAACACGAAATATTCCAAATCGTCAACCTGCAAACCACCAAATCACAATCCCAGCGTCGTCTTTCAATCGATCCAGGTTGTCGATCATCCCAATCATCGAAAGGAAAAACCTATACAATTCTTCAAAATAACGGTTCAGCCATTTTTTTGTAAAAAAGGTGGGAGTAGGTACGTATACTATACATGTATACTTCCATACTTCAAAAAATATTTGCCTCGAGATCAAGAAAACGCTTTCGACAAAGAAAAACTCTCCCAGCAGTAGGCAGAAAAAAACACTTTAACAATGTGATACCTCATCAAAAAACATTTGCAACAAAGAAAAACTGAGAAAACAAGTGGCAATGAGTACAACAAAGTTATGCTTTCTCCCCGCTCGTTGACTAGATCTATTTCTGGTTGACCAATTCGTTCTGCTCAAGAAACGAATATGTCATGAGAGTCCTCTCAATAGCCTACGAAACACGTTCCGCGACTCGATCATTACAAAATAAAATTTGGTAAAACTCCATAGTAGCTCCAAGAAACTTTCACCAAAGATCAAAATCAGAGCAGAAACATTTCTCGTATAATCTGCAGAAACATCTTTACTTTGACATGTCCATACATAGCACCGCTTTACTACCTTCATAAAACCGGTCGCATGTTACTAACGTAAAACACAAGTCATACGAAGCAACTTTCGAAAGTAAACACAAAAGGTTCTATGAAAAAGTATTTTTAAATAGCAAAAATAAAGCTATATGATTCAACATTGGGCGACCAATCTAGACTTTATCTCTTCGCACTACGATTTTACAGATATCATTCTTTAGCCCTGCGGCTCGCTGGCTTCTGCCTTTCATTCCCATCGGTCACATCCGAGCAAGCAATCATCCCGCAACTGCTTCGCACGGGTTCTGCATCGTACGTCTTAGGCTTCACCTTCCTCAGACAAAAAACAAAACAATCTTCATACAACTAGAGTAAACATTATACGAAACATTAATCGTATAACTGGAACCTAAATCATAAAATCGTTTTCTACAACCACCGCTCCATCCGTTCGCTTAATGGCTAAACGACAATCTGTGATATTTCTAAAAATGCCAATTGATGATTACACAAATAATTATCGTATAACCCAGAAGCAGAAATCATACGATAAATTCTTAATAATCAAAACTCAGTAGTAAACGGTTAACAAAAAAACGTGAACTTGTTAAAAATCAATCAAGTTCTGTATACTCCACAATTCACTTTAAGAATGTTACATTTTACCCATAAAACACGGTGTATAAGGAAAAAAAACTCATAACAAAGCTCCTAAAACTATATGAAACATCCTTAAAAATATAAGAAATAAATCTCGGAGGGCCGATTCTTCACAAACCACAATGAAGGAAGACGCTTATTCCCAAGGACAAATTTAAGCAACCCCTCGGGTTCTAATTCCTTGATCACAAATCAAACAATTTAACATCTAAAAAGAAACAACAGTTTGGCCGCAAACAAACCAAAACGTTTCTCTGCCATAAGGTTAAACCAAAATGCGACACCGAAAAATATTATCAAGCCCGCAAACAATTCAAGCATGAAATGCGGCATATGAAATAAAAACCAATCTTCAGCATAGCCAAACGTCGCGTACGCCTAAAGAACCATTTTCGACCAAAAAAACTTTGATATATCTTATTATTTACAAATTTTAGACCATCATATGGACCCCATGTGGAGCCTATTATGTGTTTCTAGGCTATTTCTTAGAGTATTTACAGGTCCATATACGTTTTAGAGTTATGTGGAGAATATGGAGCCTTTTGAATGAAGAAACCCGTAGCTGACAAGAATCAGCTAAGTCAGAGTCGACATATAAGATTAGCATCAATTGACAGAGCTACCTTGGCATCGATCAATGGTTGACGCGCACAGACCCGAATTTATTCATAGTCGACTTTAAGCCCAAGTGACGCATAATTACAAGATTACCCTTGGACGAGTTTTAACCTAATTTATAAAAGTTTCTGCAATTGTTAGGCAGAGAACCGTGCTTTTGTTTTCTAGATTTTATCGTATAATTTTAGAAGAGAAGATCAAGAATTCTTCATAGCTTTGTATTGGAACCCCAGTTTTTATTCTATGCATTCTATTCAGTCTCATTTGCTTGTTTGCTTGATATGTTTGAGTAGTTAACCTTGTTAGATTTAGGGTTCCTAAGGGTATTGATGGATTAGCCCAAAACTAGTATTGCTAGGAAAAATTAATATACATTAATTTGAATTGCTCTTAATGCATGTGTTCTAGAGTAGCTAACTAGATCCGGAACTTTGGACATAGACAATTGCGAGAGTAGGTTCTATGCCTAAACTAATTTTAGTTGAGCTAGGTTGTTAGATACATGTGAGAGCTGATCGACCAATTTAGTGGATACGTCAACTCGCCATAACCGTCGATCGATACCGGTTCTCTACCGTTGAATGATGGTTGTGGGAACCGAAATTCACCTACTGTTAAGATTACATAAATTTGAGAATTTAGAGTAAACCCTAACTTCCCAGAGGACCCGGCTATCTGCGGAACCGCACAAGAACAATCAAAAGGTACCACATCCAATGTAGCACCATCCCTCGTCTGTCTGGAGACCAGTAACCTTAGCCGTGCAGAGAAACTCAATGATTTGTCAACAGCGCACCAATTAGACTAAAAGTAAGAATAATCTCAAAGTAATTCAAAGCCAAGTCAAGAGACAACCTGAGAAACTGATGTGATAATAAACTGGTGAAGCTCGAAGACTGTAACTGGTTCAATCTTCTGTTCATGAACAACCTTCAACGATCCCGTTCCTTCGTCTGTTCCATGACTTGGCAAGCTGCATTTAAACAACAAATAAAAACTCAAGCCAATCATCGCTACAAAGCTCTAGTATAATTCCAAAACCACAAACTGGAGATTCTGTAGTTGGAATATTAATACTCATGTGTCAAACACTGCTTTGCTGGCAGCTGTCTCATGGGTGCCAGAAATAGAATTCAAAAATAGACGAGCTGACAAAACAAACATTGCTAAATTAGATACTCAAAATTCATAAACAAATTGTGTTAGAAATGCGTAGGACTAACATATAATTTTACGCTACATAAGAGAGAAACAAAGAAACGCCTACCCCCCCCCCAACAATCTTTGGATTGACGCCTGTGGCTATGACCAGTTTTGGCTCTTTCCTATAGCCGTCAAACTTGGTATGAAGCACAAGAGCCATCGATTCAAACATACTAACACAAACGTTTTCACCACTGAAAAAATGATCATATAAAGTTATATGAGCTGTTACGCTTATAGTAAACACTATGAAAAATCTAAAACAATAACGCTAACTATAAAATAAAAAAATTCCTTTGAAGACGCAAAGTTAGCCTCACACGCTGTGCCCCAATATACGGTCGGTGATCGTGCTCCTGATAGCATTCAGCTCACCTATTACCGTTACAGAATAGACGGTTCCCTTAACACATTAAAACACAGCATTTACTAACATTTCGAGCCTCCCAGAATCGGAGCAACCGGATCTCCGCAGTGTTGGAACACCGCCCTGGTTTGAAATCGAAAAGTAGGATGCTGGAATTTGCGTCTCTGTGAGGGACTATCTATACTGGAATCTCAACTCAGCCAATCTGGGAAGGCTAGGGGTCGGATTGAATGCGGAGAAGTGGATTAACCACGTCTAAAGGTGGGGTAAAGGTGATCTAGATGAGAGACCTAACTCCCGCCATAGCTCTCGAGTCTTTTGCCATCTGAAAATAGTCTAAATGCAAGAGAAAGGAAGTCTGTAAACGGGCTGACAAGTTTGAATCACCCAACAAAAATATCACAAAACTGAATCATATATACAATGAGGGAGTTTTTGCCTCTCCCTCAAGAAGCCACGTCAGCATTGTTTTTATTGTGTATAGGTCCCACAAAAACTATTAATTTTGTTTTTCCGAACGGCGTTGAAGATAGGATTCGATTAGGTCAGAAATACTCACAACTCTCCCGAGTCTCCAACCTTTGATTGTCACCATCTAAAAAGATGTAATCACTTTCTTTTCCATAATTCTGAATCTCCCTTATCTCTTCATCTCCTTCTCTTTCTCGCCCTCCCTCTGATGAACGTTTCTCTTACAACCATTGCAACGAGTGCTTCCTTCAGAGTACACTAAACAACTCCTCCGATCTCTGCGTCTGCCTCGCCCCTGTAACCTTTGATAACCAAAAATACCTGAAAACTATTAGATTTAGCATCTCTTCCATCGAACCTTGGATCACTCCTTCGAAAATGTGCTGCTCAATCTGCTGCTCCCCACACCGGCCACCAAATTTTACTTTGACCCGAGCCTGGCTGCCATGAAAGCTTTCACAACCAGGTACATCACAAGTCTACTCCTTCTGTTTTTCACTCTTAATCCATATGTTCTATAAGCTTAATTTTCCTTTTCTTTGAAATTCAACTCTTGATTCAGAGTAGGAAACGAATCGTGTTGTTTGTCTCGCTGAGACTCCAGCCTTCCGCCTCCATCGTCGCCGTAGCTGGCTTTCAGTTCCTCGGTGACGCCTCTCTCTGTCAATTCATTTATAGTTAGGTTTTCAAGCCGGGAGTGATTTTTGGTACTATTCGTTTGATATGAATTTTGGTACTTTGTTTCAGATCTTTACTGGAAAAATGAGCATAGACAGATAGACTAATGTGATCATCTGAGGTTTGCACCGCCACCGAGCGGAATCGTTACGAGAAATCCATAAGTGTATCATCTTTAATAAATTATGTTTAAGTTCCTCATATTGGACCTTAGAATAGAAGCGTATTTGTGTTGATGCCTATAAAACATCAAATAATCAAATTATTTGCTTTACCTTAGTTCTGTACATAACTACATATAGAGATGTCTGAGTAATAAAGCAAATGAGCCCACAGTAGTTCAACCAATTGCATATTTTGTTACAGACCCAGTGGTACTATTAGTCTCTTCTGAGTTCACTTTTGTTGCATAACCTAGCTGCGGTTAAAGCTTGGAATCTTATACAAGTGGAACCATTATTATAATGGAACTGGTTTCAGTTCCTATTTTTACCCTGTTCGTGTGCGAATATGTTTGGTGGTTGATTATTTATGAAATTTAACTAACTAATCACTTTCGATTGTCGAAACACTGCTCTGGAGCCTGTTTATTTTTTTTGGTTTTACGTTTATGAACGTGCGAATCTATTGCTACACATTATTTCTGGCTTCTGTTTTACTTGTGTGTTCAGATCTACAAGGCTCAGCGGAATGTAGTTTTGTGTGCGGCTGGGATCCTTCTCTACTGGTAACATCATCGCTATGACACAACTTACACTTATGTAATTAGACTAATGTTCTCTCATACTCACTGGGAGGTGTATTTTCCGCATGTGCAAGTACAATCAAGCGAATGAAACCTTTGGCTGAATAAACTATATCATGTTGATGAGCAAATATCATTAGATGATAGTTGAGTCGATTCTACGAAGCAAGTACCCTAATTCTTTGGTCAGAAGAGTAGCTGATCATTGTCTGAATAAGAATAATAAAGAGATACCCACGATGATTGTACTGGAACCTAAGGTAGCTTCTAGAGAAGATCATCCCTGCAACTTAGAGCAGAGAGGGTGAGAGAGAGCATTATATTTTGTCTCTTATTCAGCAAACGGTTTGACCATAGCATATTGATGCAAGGAACAGATTTTCGTCTATTTGTTCTGAAATCAAAGGTAAAGAGTCATGTCAGTAAGTAGAATAAACCACTGGAAAAGAATCCCATGTTTGGTTTTCCTGTATTTGTTTCCTGAAATAGATATAGGTAAGAACAAACCTTAACATGGTTGCTTGAGAAGCAGAAGTTTTGAGAATCTCTTGGGTTTCATCGATAGATTTTGTTTAGGTATCTCCTATATATTAATTGAGGAACATTGAAAAGATATAACCTCAATTTTGTATTAATTAAAAAAGGCCCCAATGCATATGTGTCATTCAATTAGGTAGTCAATTAGATTCAATTGAAAAATAAGTAAGTCCACATTGAATTTTTATAGGTTGCTAGATACATTAGTTAGTCAAACTATATGATATAATGATATGATATGCTATTTTCTTTCCATAAATAAAACCTACGTAATTACCATAAATGATTAATATATATATGACACTTAATGATTGTTCCCTAAGATATAATTACTATTTTATTTTATTTCCATAAATAAAACCTACGA